ACACACAGACACACACACAGACACACACACACACACACACACGCACAGACAGACACACGCACAGACACACACACACAGACACACACACACACACAGACACATACACACACACACACTGAGCATGTCTACAACTTTCTAGGGCTGGATAGGTCTTGTATTGGTGTACGGAATCTGCAGACAGATCGAGACAGAGCTGCGTACAGACATCAGAAGCACGTACATGAATGTAGATGCGAAGATGCTTGTGCCAGGCAAGAGACTAGAGCCCTTGTTGAAAGAAAGAGCGTCTTGTAGCTCTGGCGCTTGCAGGTAGGTGTGTGTGTGTGTGTGCTTGTGTTTTTCTCCGGATTTGTCTTCTCCCCCTCGTCCGACGTGCTAAAGACCGCGGTCGTCGTCCAATGCACAGCCTCTTGCAGCCTCTTTCAACTTCTGGAGCCCAAACTCGACACTCTGGCTCTGAGGGATGGCAAGCCTCACGAACACACTTTTAACAATTTCCGAACACTTGACAAGGCCCGGACCTTCATAACCACCTGAAAACGGATCCGTATTTGAACCGCTTTGAACCGTTGTCAAATCAAGCCGTAGGACACCTTGCAAACTACGTGTTCAGCTCCATGCAGTCTAGTGAAGTGTGTGGTTCAAACACCCCCAAAAACCCGAAACCCCAAACCAATTCCATACATGCCTAAACCCGAGACACCAAACCCCAACCCGGCCCGACCATGCGGCCTTCAAACCGACCTCGCAAGACCTTGAGATCTCATCTGGCTTGTCCGAGCGAGCGTAGACCCCGACCGTAAACCCAAACCCTGGACATGAAGGCTTCCTTTCCCCTTTCACCTCGAACGCTTGAGACCTCGCCTGGATCCTCCGAGTCGTGAGAGTGTAAACCCAAACCCTGACCTCCTGAACCCAAAACTCCGCAAACCATATAAAAGACCCCATGAAACCCTGTGAAAACCTCCATAAACCCCGTAAGAACGCTTGTTCCTTGGATCCTCAAATCCCCCGGGTTGCTGAGAGCTTCGGCCTCTGGGCCAGGCGCGCGAGAACCGAGGCGAAATGAGCCCGGCAGAGTTGGCACCTGGGCCCACCGTTTGAGCGGCGCTGGGATGTTCAGGGATATTGCGGGTCGGATTTAGTGTCGTCAAAGCTTGGGGTTGAGTTCTTGGGATTGAGCTTCTTGTGAACCCCAGCCAACTCCTGTTAGAAACGGTGTTTTGGGTTTGCGGCTTTACCCTTGGACCATGGATGTTTTCTACACTCGGACAGGCCGTATTTTATCTACGTAAAAGTTCAAAGCTTTTCATTGCAGTCCCTGCTCAAGAAGGGCTTTCACTTCACAAGGCATTGGGTGTCTTGTAGTGCCCAATGCCTGAGGCATTAACACAGGGGTTTATACGAGAACTTTGGATTGAGGTTTAGTCCTTGGGTACATGTTTGCTATCTTCGGTAGTTTGGGTGATCCGGGCTTTCGGGCTGCGCTGGAAGAATCGACGGACGCATCTTCCTCCCTCAAGCCGTAGACCCCTGGCCGGTAAATTGCCTGAGACCCTTCGAGTTCCAAAATCCGGAGCCCTTCTTCCCGATGGGCCCAGGCTTGTTCCCCGCTGGGGCGGCAGGCTCGAGAGACCTGAGCTCTGGAATAATCTTGGGTTTACATGCACTCGTGTTAGGGGTTTATCGTTTAGGCTAGGGAGACCTGTGAGTAGTTCGAGTTGGATGAAGCCTGGATTTGGGGTTGCGGTCTTTGTCCTCAGTGCAAGGTCATCGTCTCCACATAGGAGGCCTTATTCAAACGTACGGCAGCATCATGCATTTGGAATGACAGAACCTCCCAGTGGTTTTCCTGTATGTTTCCTATGCAAGTGCCAGTACCCACAACAGCCGAATGGCTACTTCTAGCAAGATTGGCACCTTCGTGCGGTGGAGTTCAGTTTCGGGATCATCTGGATTCCTGAGCCTCAATAACACTGAAGTGGTCAGGTACCAGCTGAAGGGTGCGAGTTCTGGGTTCAGAAATTGTTGAGTAACAATTTCGGGCAGACCAGATGGTCTGGGTTTCCTGCATCCGCTCCAGTCCGAGCAAGCCTGTAAAGCACCCGTTTCGAAGCAACCTCCAAAGTTCAGCCAGAAAAGTGGAGGCGTGTCCACAAGCATCTCGAGTCTCAGCGTACAGGGTTGACAGCGGCGGAGCAGTGGGGGCTCGGTGAGGGCAGAGGCTTACAGACCTGCTGTGGGCCTGCCGAAATGTAAAGGCTAGGACGAAAGCCGAGCCTCAACCGTACAGCTTGTTTCCTTTAGGACACTCCATAAGACCATTTATTGAAGGAGTCCAGGACCCCTCAGCCGCATGACCATAAAGTCCTAAAGCCTTGAATCGCTGTTGTGAAGTTCTAGGGCTGTCTTGTTTGAAATCGCTCTGTTTCAGCTTTGGGCGCCGCAGCGGAGCAGTCGCAGCTGCCAGCCGAGCGCTTACTTTCGCCAAACTCCTCCCCAAAGCTGAACACTTCGACCGGGTTGCGAAATGGCCTGTCGGATCTAGGCTTCTGGGTTTCAAGCAGCACAGTCTACTTCTGATTTAGCTGGTTCTGGTGCGATCATGAATATTGATGTTTCTCTTTGGGCTTGTGACACCACCACAACCACCAGCTCGACCATTCCTCCCAGTCGAAGCATCACCCGAATCACAGCAAACTCACAGCCGAACCACAGCCAACTCAGCTAAATCGGCCAACTCAGAGCCGAATCACGGCTGGCCACTCTACCTCTGTTGCTGCATCGGGAAATGTAGCCGGCACAGTGTATAGTAACAGCAATCCTGAAGTTTCCGACAGTCACAGCCATTCTAGATCTCTGAGTAAGACAGACGGCTAGTCTTGTGGTACCTTCTTTGTACTCTTGCCATGTACCGCTTCCTGTGATGAGGTACCGGGCCTTGCAGAACTCGCACACCTTGAAGCACAGGCGCATTGCCTTGCAGCCTCAGATGGGATGAAATTCTGCAGCTAGTGTTGCTCGTTGCTTGTGATATTCTCAGCCTTGAGGCTTCTCATCTGAAAGGCTTTCCTCGTCGTGCGCTTTCCCGACTTTCTCCACTTCAAGCCTTGGGCAAAAAACTGGAGCCCCAACATGGTTTGGGGTTGCGAACGAACAGCCGCCAATTCACAAAAGACCCTTGTCGCTTGTTAAGGCCTTACCCCTGCACCCTCAACTTGAAAGACCGCGACCTCCAAGCCGGAACTTCAGAACGTGCACTCCCAGCTTACAGCGGGCTCTGGTTCAACATGTTGTTTGCGTTTTTTCCAGCACAATACAGGCGTCACAGGGTCTGAGAGAAGGTTACGGAGCTTGGCTTATTCTACCAGAAGAACGGAGCGAGTATTTTCCTCTGAAAGTATGTATGTATATATATATATATAATATATATGTATTCGTTTATTTGTATTCATATAATGTGGTAACTTAAGTTAAACCCCCTATAGAACGAAAAACTCTAAACGCCAAAACCCCAAACTTCTTCTATGATCGTGAACCTCGCCATGCCGGCATTGTCCTCGGCATTCGGCCGGGAAAAACTCAACCCTAAGTCTTAAACCGCAAATGGTCGAAGGTGGCTTGCGACGGCCATCGAGGATCGAAGCTTGTGCACGAATTTCGATGCAGCCAAGCACCCGGCACATGTGCTACCTTAGCTAAGGCCTTTGGATTGAGTTTGATCGGGATATGGAGTTTGAGGCGCAGCTCAGGGTCCGAGCACTGGTGGCGTACGATCTCAACTTCCTCACTGGGTTTTAGAGTCTATAGAGCTTCCACCGATTCTACTCTCGGCGGCTTCTTCTGGTTGGCGTGTTGGCTTGACTAGGGAACCCCAGACCCTCACTTGATGGCTGTACAGAAAAACCCCGGAATCTTCCCGACATAGAACCCAACAATCCTTAAATAGCCCGAAGAGAAATAGAGCCCTTAAGAGACGGTTTTTGAGTTTCCTAGATTTGGGGCAGGTGGGGATGCCGGATGCACAGTGATCAGGGCTTTTGTCAAGGGTGTTCGGGCGTTTTCGATGCTGCATTGCCGAAGCGCATTAGCGGCTACAAGGGTTAGGCCACAATCAAATCCCCAGTCCAAAGTCCCACAGGACTGAGTCCAATACTGCCATCACCCCAAACGCCCCAAACCCTAAACCACTACGCACCTAAAGTCCTATTAACTCTATCAACCCCCAAAAGCCCGGTGTTGCCTCCCACGCTCGGCTTTTCAACAATCTTGATCCTTTGCCCCCCACACCCTCAAGCATAATTAGTCGCAAGTTCGAGTAGAGCATCTCAACCCTAAAGCCGAGTGTCTTCGCAACGTCTTGGCTCCACAGGGCTTTTCTGAAGTCCCTACGCTCCGCGTTTTCTGACGGCCCCCAGCCGCGCAGCTGAAAATCGGCGCCTCTTGGCTCCACTTGACTTGACTCTACTTAAGACTTAAGGGTTTCTAAACAGGGCCAGGAGGGAGAGAGGGAGGGAGAGGGGGGAAGAGAAAGGAAAAGAGAGAGAGAGAGAGAGTGTGTGTGACTTCACGAACCGCTGTTGACACAAGCGTGTGGTTTGATACTGCGTCTCGTGCCACCACCGTGGCTACCCATCAGAACTATGCAAGTAGAGTTTCGATGCCTCCAAGTAGCCGTGCTGCTGTCGTCACCAGTGTTGTTAGGCTCTGTTCCGTCCCTGAGGTCGACGAATCGTCGCCCCGCCGCCTGCAAACTTCATTTTCTTCGTATTCACGATGCGAGGCTATGGCAGAGGGGATTTGCGGTGTGCCCGATTCCGTTGGAGTTGCTGCGCAGCGTTTCAGGGTATGTTCCTTCAATGGTTTGGTTAGAGATTCGAGATGTCGAAAGTCGATGCGGATTGCTGTGAGCTTGACCAGCAACACACGGAAAGGTGCCGAAGTGACAGGTCTTTCGCAGCCCTGCATGCTCTCTTGACTGGGAACATGTAGGAGTTTCTGACAGTTGGGGACCCGACACCAGATGTTGACGAATCCCACGTGTGTAATTCGAGTCAACTGACATCCACAGAGCCTCACCAACGAAGCCCATCATTCTATGCATCCTAGCACACATCAGTGCTGAGCGGTGAGGATGCTTCTGACCATGAGCGTTCAACCCGGGTAGTCCAATGGAAGGCGGTACCAAGCGCATCCTCGCAACTGCTGCGTATTTGCTTGGCCTGCACCCGGCCGCGACTTTGTCGGCAAAACAGCTTAGAGCTTGAGGTTAGGATTGAGGATTTAGGGTTCAATTAGGGTGCAAAGCCAAGAATGGCATGTGACATAGATCTACTGTCAGTGTCGTCTGCATTGCTATTAGTTAATGTCATTGCTCTCGTTGCTGCACTGCTGTCATCACAGTCCGCAGCACAAGTCGTGGTCTGCCTGCGGTTCAGAATTTTGGATGTTCGGGGCATGGGATTCGATGAGGAATCATTGGGGATCCGGCTGTCATGTATGATTTAGTCAGCGGGCGCATGCAAGACATTCTCCCTACGCTTGTGTGTGAGCGTGCCGCCGGCACTGGTAGATCGCTTGGCCCTCGGTGTAGTCACTCTGCGCGGCAGTTTGAACAGGCCTGCGCGCAAAAAGGGTCAGGTTTTCTTGTGGGTGTTTTCGAGTTTGGCGTCTGTCGATACTTCAGATTTGCACTTGGTCTGTCGTAGGCCCTGTATCCTTCTAGTCTCGCATGGCATACGTACTATGTCGCAGCCTATGACAGGAACATCGGATAGGGAAATGCAGGATGCAACCTCCTGGGAAGCTCGAGCGGCCCAGCAAGACTTTTGGTCATCCCGGAGCATCCCACTTCCTTACCCAGGCCCGAGGCAGCTGAATCAAGGAATCTTTCCTCTTAATTAGGGAGTATTTGGCTCTCCAGGCAATTAGCTTGGCAGGTAACCCGGACTCGTGTTTGGGAAACGTTTGTTGAGCACCTCCTCACCCACTGCACCCTCAGAAGCCACACTAGTTTGGAGCTCAGCTTACGGAAAAGGCATCCGGAACTTCACCAGATAGAAAGCCTCAGACCCGAAGTTCCTAGAACACAGCCCGAAATGCCAAACCCTGTCCCTCCCGCCCCCAGAAGCGCACCCAATGTCACGGCACAAGTACACCTGGAAGGTTTGGGGCCCTTAGGAAAACAAGTGAATCCGTAATGGTATGGTTGAGGATTTGGGATGTGGGGCTCTAACAATTGAGGAACCCCAGTCAAAGATCCCTAGATAGCAGGCTCTTAATTTCAGTACCCCAGAACAGGAAGCCTTACGTGGTTCTTAAGACCACCCCCAGCCCCGCGGTTTATTGATGGTGCCCTTGGAAGGGCTCAGATGCTCAGGTTGCAGTCTCCGAGCTCGGAATCCACCGGGGCCTGGTAGGATGCCCAAGCAAGCGAGCGAGTTCAGAGTTGAGTCTTCATTTGGGGCCTTTGCAGTGTCTCAGTGTCTCTGGTTGTGTTGTGTTGATGTGCGTGTGTGTGTGTGTGTTTTTTCGTTTGTGTGTGTGTGTGTGTGTGTTGTTGTTTATCTGGTGTCCTTTAAAGGGAGGGGTTTAGGGCCGGAGGTGTGGTTTATATCATGCACATTGAAAGTACGGTTTAGCGCGAAAGGGGTTTAGGGCCATGGTGTTGAAGGACATAAGAGAGCCCAGGTACAAAGGGACTGACGGTGCAAGGTTCAAGGGCGTGGTAGGTGGAAGATCTCGTGTTTAAGATTCAGGTGTTTGGGAGCTGAGGGTGTGGGGGGCTCGGAGGGCTTTAAGTTTCCCGCCTGGCTCTGGCTTGGTTTTGGGCAAGGGCTAGGGTTCTGTGTTCAGCCTTCCCTCTGTGTTTTGGTTTTCCTTCGCAGGCATCTGGTCCGTGGTTTGGCCTTGTAACATTGTTTATCGGTCGCATCCAGCGGCTGAACCATTGCAGCTTTGTTCTTTGAAGCGCCGGCTTGGGCACGCAATACGAACAGCGATGTGTTTGCCTTGAACATGCTTCAGTTGCTTGCCCTCTTGCCTTTGATACCCCTACAGTGTTACGGCGTTGCAGCTGCATGTCTAGACAGCGGTTCGAGATGACCGCAGATTTTTATTTTTTATGTAGATCCACGACTTCTGCACCTTTGTCCTTGTCCTTGAGCCTCTCGGACTGTCTTCGAAATCCGCTGTGTAAGTTCCACACAAGCTGTGGAAAGAGCACGTCAGAGCGCCGAAGCTGTCTGATTAGCAATGACAAGACTGTCTAATGGTGGCGAAGCGATACCTGAGGCGCTCAGGCTTTGGGATGTTGGGTGCGTGCGCTGCAACCCGAAGCTTTGAATCCAAACCACCCTAAACTGCTCCCGAAACCTAGCCCTATAAACCGCAGCCCTACCATCATCAAGGCAATCAGAACCGAGCTTGAAAAGAGGCAGCAAGAATTGCTGATCGAATTGGAAAGATAGCCACACACCATTCCGAAAGTGTAGCGGTCATCTTAGATGATTTTCGGCCAACTGCCAGTGCCTCCCTAACAGAACAAGATGGGATGTGCATGCTGTGCCGTCGCGGAGGAGTTTAAAGACCCCAGGGCGATAATCTACAACGGCTTTGATGAGAGCAGTGTGTCTGTAGCATTCATTCTTGACAATCAGTTCGGTGCCACCACATTTACAGGGCGAGTCCGAATCTACACCTTTACTGGCCACTTTTTGAGCACATCCATCTCTTGGGACTGCGTAGTGGGAGGCGGCGGCGACTACATGAAATATCGCGGCACGATTTCTGAGGAGAAGATCACCGGCACTTTCGAGTATTCCGTTAATGGCTTTGGTGGAGGTGGCGGTTTTCGACTCCAGGCAAAGGATAGAAGCAGAACTTTGCAAGCCGTGGCCGAGGAGAACTTGTCCAGGGCACTTAGCATCAAGAAGGCTCCAGAAAGCTCGGAAGCAGCTGTGGAAGATGCCAGTTGATGGGATTGGCATTTCCTGGACGGCAGGAAAGGTTCCCTTTACAGGTTCGCAGACTTGTGGTGAACCTTTAACGATTGACCTTTCTGAAATATTTGCAGGCTGGTTTCTGACGCCTATTCACCATGTCTTCTGCCGGGAGTGTCTCACAACTATTCAGCGACACTCGTTTCATGTGTCACAGTGGGAAGTGCCACCCTTGGACAGTGGGGTGTTGGCATATTGTGCCGAGGATTACACTGCGTCTGCACATGCGGCCAGGGAAAGTGGACCCGAGATGCTGGCAAAGGGCACCGGTCTGCTCAAAAAAGGTGTCATTCGCTCACCCAGCAATCTACGAGCCTCAAGCGTATCCTGAGTTGTAATTACCGTAGAGTCCCGAAGCCATATCCAAGACTGCCCATGCCGAGATGAAAATCGAAAGCTCTCTTCATGCAGGTGCGGGGGGGAGGGGGAAGGTGGGCGCTTAAAGTATGCTTGAGGCTTACATTGTGCTAGAATGTTCCATGCATGCCCCTTCTCATTCGCCTTTCTCCGACTGACCTTACGAGTGGCATCTTTGCATCCAAATCTTTGTGTGTTGAGCCTTGGGGCTTTAGGGTGTCGGAGAAGATTTGGAAAGTGTTCGTGGCCCCTTGGGAAGTGATCCTTTCTAGGGTCTTGGCAATTGGATCGTATTCTATAAGGGTTCTACAATTAGTTGCAGTTCCATCATGTTCTGAGAGCCCCACGTCCTAAAACTGTTGCGCCGTCTTTCCAATCCTGCTGCTCGTCACTTGCCGCTGGTGCCCGAGTATCTGCCTGCGTGTTTGTCCTACAGCATCGATAAGGAAGATCTGTGTCCAACAGCGCATCTGCGGCAGGCCCCATGACCACTCAGGACGGAAAGGCTCGCAGACACGCAAGCCGTCAGGTTGTTAGAGCGCTGTCCGTCCGAGCTTTTGGAAAGTCTTTTCGTTGGAGGTCTTGGGCTCCAGCCACGGTGGTTTCAACCAACTCCTGTGTCAAGACTTCAGAGTTTTTTGCAGGGATCGGTGGAGCAGTTGCATTTTGGAGTGTTGGACTACGGCTGCTGTTTGCAGCTGCAGATAACTGGCTGCAGCATCCGAGTGTTGTACGAGTCCTCTCTTGCAGTAGAGTTGTCCGAAGACACTAAATGCATTGCGGTCCATGCTTCTGAGGAAAGAGTTTGAGAGGAGCTCTGGCAAACACCAAGTGTGACAACAAGCCTGGTCACGAATTGTTGTTGCTGTTCTTTCTTCGCACCCTCCCCTGCCGGAAGACCCAAACTTGAAAACCCGTCAAGACTGGAAAACCGACTGTGGACAGCGGGGAGCATCTGGACCCCTACGATGTATCTCGGATTCTGTGTTGCGTGTTGGTTCTTACTTCGTCGAGTGTCTTATCAGAGGTCTTCACCAGAATCTGCGGAGGTTTTCCCGGACTCGAGGGTTTAACAAGGCTTGTCGTTTCGGTTTCTGTTGTCGGCATCCCGTAGCGTTCGGGAGATAGGGCCTCTGCCGGCCTACATCAGCCAGCAGACTTCCGAGTTCAAGCTTTGAATGCTTGGGGTCCAAAAGCTTGGGTTGAGGATTGTCGGAGTTGCGGTTGGCACGTTGGTCGGTGGAAGGTTGTGGTGTGGGGCTAGAGCGTTGACGGGTCCCGGCTGTTGTGCTTGTTGGTCGGGGTCGCGAGACGGAGCTGTATGACTTCTTCAACATGATGCTGCCCCGATAGGTCACTTTCATGGAACTTTACCAAAACACGCCTTAGTTATCATAAGCCAGTCATGAATTCTTGGGAAACCGTCCTGGGCACAGTAGGAAGAGACAATCAAGGCTTTGGATTCGGCTTTTCAGGGTACCAGGGGATGTCCTGACCGGACGTGGACCTGGGCATCAGGCTTTGCTTCTTGGGTTCCGGTTTGTTTTAAACTCATCGGCGTATCTTCGTGTTTTCGTTGCCGTCTTTCGGTCCCAACGAAAGCCAAGCTCTGGATAACTGGCCCTCAGGATGAAATCTTCGGGTCTCATGTCCCTGCTCGGCAGAGGTGTCCGCAAAGCGTTTCCCCCAAGGCGGAAACCATGGACCCTCGTAATTGGACCAACATCCTAATCCTTGACCGCGAAACTGCAAGCTCAAGGCCCTAAGCCGTAAACTGAAATCATTGAGCACGACTCAAAGCTTCCGTGTAGACCGCTCATTACCTCCTTGGTAAGGGTCTGTATACCTGGATCCCACTTGCATTCCTTCTTGACTAAAAATTGTCGTTGTTGGAGGGGGACATGATGGAAACCAGTATTAAGATGCAGAAACCCACAAAAGTCTTTGCAGAACCCGTAAGTTCGCTTCAGAAGCCTGTTAAAAAAAAACACTGTAAAGCTTGTCTGAAATCCCCAAGCCACTAAGCCTTCTCTAAGCTGCTCGAAGACTTCTTCGAGGTGCCAGCAGAGCTCATCGGCGATGTGGGCATGGCCGGTGCCAAAGGGGCTCAGGGCGCGCAAGGTGCCTGGGCCGAGCGATTCGGTTCACCAAACGAAGACATAATCAGGATCTTAAATGTAGCGTGGAATCGCCCAGTGAGGCGAGAAAGCCGCATGTCATCGGGAGAAATGATTTTCGTGTATTCTGTTGAGTTCCGCAGCAGGGGTGTTCCAGATCAGGACCTAGGACAGGATCAAGCAAGGAAGGCAAAGCCCTTGCTTTTCAAGGTTTGTGGTTTGTGGAAGCTGATCTCCGCAGGCTGCGAGCATTAGGGGGCGCCGAGAGCATCAGGTCCGGAAGACAACGTCCCCAAGTCCTAAGTGCAGAATAGGCAAACTTTCAGAACTCGACCCTAGCTTGGGCGTTTTAGGGGAAGACCTCGAAACAAACCCAGTCCTACCACACCTGCTCTTGAGCTCAGGTGAATGTGGTGACCCAGGACTTCAGTTGTCTTTGCAGCAGATAACCAGGTGGGTTTTACGATCCGAACCGATTGATTAACCCTTATAGGCTTACGAACACGTAAAGCCCGGACCCAAACTCCACTATCGCCTAAACACCATGAGCCCTAAACAGCCCTAAACCCTATATCGGAGTATTAGCACAAACTCTCACCCCGAAAGCCATGAAGCCCTAAACCCCAACACCTCATGGCGCCCCGAGCTCCCAGACCTGATTGAAACTTCAACCGAAAGCCTGAACTCTAAACCCCATCAGCCCATTGAAATCCCAGACCCGAGCCGGCAAGGACCTCGGGGCGAAAACCTCACTCTCGCGGCAAACGCCTCGAAGGACCAGCCTTCGTATAACCCGCGGGGCATATCTCACAAGGGTTAGTCAAATTTCGGTGCTAGGGCGTAGGGTCCTGAGGGCTGTCGAAGAGTTCGAGGTTACCTGGGGGGGGGCAGAGGTTTGGTGTCATGGAAGCTCGGGCTGAGGGTTCAAGGAATAGCACGGATTTCTGTGCTCAATCTTCAGCTTCTGAACTGGAGACTTGCCGGCATAAACCCTGTCAAACCTTTTTGTCGCCCTATACAGCCCTAGGATTTGCGTGTTTGGGGGGGGGGGGTCGAAGAGACTTAGAGTCTGAGCAGGTTGTGGGTCCTGGCCTGCACTGCCCCGTTTGGAGGCTCTGTCCACTTAAGAAGTCCACTTAGTATCCCTTAAAAGTGCTAGAACAATCCCCAAGGCCCATCTTACTTGCCTTGCCGGCTGTGTCACGATAGCTCCGAAGCAGTGCTTTCTCGGTGTTTTTGGTTCCGGTCCGACTGCGTCGACTGGTTGAAGGTTTGATACGTGGTTTAGGGTTTAGGGTTTAGGGAGGTTTGATACGTAGTTCTCCTGGACCCAAACTGCGGAGTTCTTCTGACGTCGCAAGTGGTCACTGGTAATGTAACCGACCAGCTGAACCTGGCCATTATGTCCTTAAGTGTTGCGCAAGAAAGGAAAGAAGACGTGAGTGTTCGCTCTATCTTTCCCTCTGTTTGCTTCCTTGCATTCCATGGCGGCCCGCGCCAACTATGTAGTTGGGTTTGCCCCGGATGCACGAAGCGGGAGATTCGGAGCACAAGGATCCTCAATATAGATCCCAAACAACGAGGACCCCCCCTATTAAGGTATCGTAGATGGAGCCGCCTACGTAGGAGTTGTGGGGGCTCGACTTCGAGCTTTGCTTTCAGCATGCTGCATCTGGAGTTTTCGGGTTTGGGGATTTGGGTGGCTTGTGGGGTTGCACAGCCTTAAACCGAAGCTCAAATCTTACAGTCGTTGCCTTGGACCGCAAAGCTCCCAAGCAGGAAGAAGAAGGAAGGGAACCGCCTCTGGAGTCCATGGTGGGCGTCACCCGCGCCATGTTGTTGCAGCTGGCCGCTTTGCCCAAGAGGTGTTTTTGGATGGTTTAGGGTGTTAGTGTTGGGTGAGCTTCCGGAGTGCTTTCCGTGCAGGGCTCAGTTGTGTAAGTTCGGGTAGCGGTGTTGGCATGCCGGGGCTTACCGCATTTATGTCCGGGCTTGAGCTCGAGAGCTCAGTTCACGACGCACTGTGTGTCTGTGTGTGGGCGAGCCATTTTGCAATGTTGCTGCTTGAACGCCATATATATATATATATATATATACATATCATATCACAGCAAAATGCATCTTTCCAGCTCGTGATGTCTTGGTCTTCTACCTCTGTGGATCTTGTCATGTCGTGCTCTCGGGACCCGTAAAATAAAAAAAAAGCAGTTGGCGGTGATCTCACATGTTTCATGGATACCAAGCTGTTGGTTTGGGCCTACGGGTTTAAGAGTCGAAGTGCATGGGGTCGTAGTATCTGCGGTATAGTCTAGATGTCTCGAAAGCCTGCGACACCCCATTCTATCCTGGCATAGAACATGAGGCTGGCCTCATGTCTTCCCACACTTGATATCATGATGCTGCATAATGGCATTCTGGGTTGAAACTCTAGCGTGGAGGTATGGGATGTTTGGCTGGGGTCTACTTACTCGCCCTGAAGCCGGCAACCAGGTCCTGTTCAATGTCGTCTGCCTTGGCTTTATCTATGTCAGCCTCAAAAAGCGGATCACTTTGGTGGAGCAGGTGAAGGCAGCCATCGACCAGGCCGGGCATCCCAAATCAAACCCGGAAGCGAAACCCTGAACCGCGAACCGTAAATCCTGAAACCCGACAGCGAAATCAAAGCCCGACGGCCCGACGTCCCGGCAAGCCACGCCCCCGAAGCCTAAACCCTAAAATCCGAAAGCCCTGACCAGCCTCTCAAGAGACCCCTTAATGTGAAGCCTGAGCGGTTGTGCTTGCGAGATCTGGGATGTTGGAAGTGGGGGCTTCGGAGCAGCAAGTTTGGTTTGGATCCGGCTGAAGGATCACAGGGGTCGCACAGCTATGATCTCGAGACAGGGCGGTCAGGGTTTCGGTTTCCACTGAGTGCTCCAACTTGATTTCCTCTATTGACCTGGTCCCCCGCTAGTCCTGAGAGATAAAGTTCAGTTTGCCTAGGAAGCTGGGGCAACTGAGACTTCCATGTTGTGGAACCCTCAGACTTGGGGTGTTCTCTTGACGTTTCTTGGTGGTCGTCTCCACATGTCTCGGCACCCAGACCGCCCAGACCGCTTAACGAATCCAAGAAGTGGAGACCTTGCAGAAGGCCCGTCTACTGATGCCACAAGGGATCTTGGAAGCAGGTAGTGGACGAGTCTTACCTGTCCATGAGCTTCACCATTGCCTCTCGGCATTGCAAGGCCTTGTGTGGCTCAGGTGAAGCAGACCCGCCCTGAAGATTTGAGCTTTTCTCGGGTTCAGGGCCACGGATTTGCATTCGGCATTCGGGTCGATTCCCAAATTCTGAACCTCGCCGCATGCAGGAATTGTGGAAGCCAACATCGCCGTTATTCACTGCCCACGGTTTCCAGACATATCCCAACCCCAGCCTGTAATCCGACTTTGGCATCCGCCAAGTGACGCGAAGCCCGATGCAAATACCCTCTAGATCCAGGACCTTAGTACCCAAACCCCCAAGGTCAACGTGTCCTATCCCGATGTGGAAGCATCCGGGAGTGCACAGGACTTTGAGAATCTCGTGGCTCAGCTTGAGCTCGGTTTCGGCATTTAGATGTTGTAAATCTTTGGAGATGCCGGGGTGGAGAGGGAGCGAGAGAGAGAGAGAGAGAGAGAGAGAGGGGCGGGAGGAAACATGGGGAGGTTCGTCCGGCACGCTGAGAGCTAGGAACTTGCTTTGCTTGTTTGTTTGTCTACGCTGCGCGAAAATGGCACGAAGTTTCTAAGCGTGGAATCCGAGCCCGAAAGTGCGTTCATTGCCTTGCACCACACCATCACAGGCACACTAGTCGCCACCAGCTTTATATGGCCACACTGTAATGAACCCTCGTTCAAGGAAAGTCAGGCGAGCGCGATGGGGGAGCATGGAATCCTGAGAATCGAGATATGCCTTTCTTTGCGGGTCGCGGTAGCTGCCAACTCCCAACAAAGAAGAATTTGTAGAACTGGCCAAGCCCTTGTTGGAATGCAGGGAACCTTCGGAAGAGTTAGCGCCAAGGCATACCCAAAATGGGGTTCTTCCGTTCCGACTAAAGAGGATTTAGATACTGTGAGCACCAGGGGTCCGTGGCATGCGCTCTCGCTGTGGAGCGGCGAACATTTTCGAAAGCGTCCGCATTTCAGTCCCACAGTGGACTGCTGGGACGAGCGATTACTTGTCTGTCCCGGTTAAAGTTGCACAAACTTGGCTTCGGGGCTCAATCCAACCTGCCACCAGGTCCGGTCATCAGTTTTTGCATACACCTTTCGCTCGAAGTCCCTGATGTCCTGCCAGAGCCGTCTTGGGGCTCCTTGTGGCTTCCTCCTGCTGCTTCATATACGTTATCACTTAACAAACAATAGGATTACCTTCTTATGGATTTAGGGTTTAGGGTTTAGGGCTCAAGTTCATTAAAAGGACACTGATAGCTCTCGACTCAAGTGGCTTCAGCCCCGGAAGGACCCAGATCTGAACAGGAGATTTAGGATCTGTCTGACATGGTGTGGGACTTGGGGTCTTGGGGTACAGGGTTTAGGGTCAACAGAGTCTGGGTTCAAAAAGGGTTTAGGGTTACGCGTATCCTAAATTTTCAGTCAGGTGCTTGATGTCTTGGCTCGCGCGGCGGTGGCAGGCGGTGCTGCAGGCTGCTTTGGCCGCAACCAAAAGGAATGTTCGGGGTTTGGGGTGGGGTTTGAGGCTATACGGTTTCTGCAAGGTTTGGATCTGCAGGGTGTTCGGGGTTAAGCTCTTAAAGTGGTAACGTTTTAGGGTGACTTAAGGCTTACATTATATGCTTCAGGATTTCGGGTTCCACGAAGGTTGAATAGGATTTCTGGATGACGTGTTGGGAGTTAATACCATCCCAGTAAACCCTAAGGGCTACGATACCAAACACGCAAGATTTAGGATCTGCTGCTTTGGGCTTCAATCGTTCAAGCCTTTGGGTGTGGGATCTTCCGGTTTGCGGCGCGGGGTCCAAGAGGCCATGCATTTAGCTTCAAATTATCCCCCCCCCCCCCCCCCACGAGGCTGTACAGGAATTCAAGGAAACAGCCGCCCACCAGAGAGTCCTCTCATGTCCTGCCCCCGGCCGTTGCGAGGAATCACGTCGGAAAACGCTGCCGTTGCCATGGGCGAAGGTGAGGGTGACAGCCAGCTGGCAGCAGGCGGTGACAGTGATTGCACAGTGAAGCTGTAAGTTCCGTCTTTTGCCTCCATTCCGCAGCACCGAAGCCAAAGCCACAACAGCAGTAACAAAAGCAATGTAACTTGGCGGGGAGCAGCACCATCCGCAAGAATAGTTCTTTCGCAATAGTTATATCAGTTGTGATGTTGGAAGAACTCCCAACACAGCAGGTAGAAGAGTATGTTCAGCGGCCCAACACGGAAACCTAAAACACCGGAGCAGAATCTCAAGCTTTGCCCACAGCCCACACCTACAGTCAGGCTCAGGGCGGTATTGGGCACGTGCCTGCTCTCTGAGCCAGCAGCCTCAGCAGAGTCAGACCGAGAACCACGGAACGAATCTGAGGAAACATGACGATGCGAGATATGCCAAAACCATTGAAGGGAAATCCGGTTCAGGACATCCGACTCATTGTGATACAGAAAGTTCTCTTGCGCTGACCCCTCCCACCACTTCAGGAAACCGAAACTATATTTTCTGATTTGATTGTTCGGGTGCTTCAAGCGCAGCAGACACGGGTATTCCCTCAGAGAGGTCCTCAAGTTTGAAAAGCCCGCATGTTTTTTTTTGCGTGCCGTCTTATCAGATGGTATATATATATATATACTTATACATATATACATACATGTCCAGGTACATGTATGCATACATACATACATACATACATAAATACATGCATGTGGGAAGCCCATTAAAAAAACTAAATCCGCGAGTAGCGAGAAACACACTTGCCCTTCCTTTCATGACGTGGATGGTCGCAGCTCCGATATCTGCTGGCCGGCGCCACCGGAC